TGCGTATACGCTAAACCTCCCGCGCAAATTGAGCACACAATCAGTGTTCTACGTAGGCTTACTTAAGCCGTACCGGGATCCTTCCCATGTGAACTTGGAGGCGCTTGCGCCGACGCCAAGGGCACTGCCCCGGATTGCTGTAGACGAATCAGCAAGTCCAACTGAGCTTCGCTCCGAGTTTAAGCTTGCTCCATCGCCTGAAGGCGGCTTTGCACCGCATCCAGCATGCACTGGGACTTACCCAAGGCCTCTTGAAGACCCTTCACTTCGAGAACCAATTTCTCGTGGGCCTCCACCGGTACACCAGCCGCCACCAACTTTGCTCGATGAGCATGGGTGTCGTCAATTTCATGTTGAGATACTACTGAAACGACGTCGTCATCAGGTCCAATACCAGTATCTGGCAAAGTGTCGTGGGTACCCTGAGTCTAAAAACGCATGGGAATTTGAGGTACTCCTTCGGCAGGACTGCCCATATGCGTTAGAGGCTTTTGAGTATCGTGGCCATGGTCAAATCGAGCCCGAGTCCGTTCCCCACCACTAGTGGTCCGGGTTGGCGGGTTGTTGGCCACAGACTGACCAGCACTCGCGGCTACCTTAGTAGCCGAAGCATAGCGCGTGCGCTTGCGCAAGTGGTCTCTGGTATTAAGCTTGGCATAATTATACCGAAGCTTGCGTTCGAGACGCACATCCGCCGCATGGGCACTAGCCTTTAGAGCAAAAATGTTGATGAGGCGACGTACATAGTGCACCCAGTGAACGAAGGCATCGTCTTCTTCGCTTACTGTTTCGCCTGCGAGCAAGAGAATGGGTATACCCTTGATCAGTGGAACCGGTGCACCACGTGCTTGCATGTCAAGGCGTGCCTTGTATTGACTTTGAGTCGTTAGGTGCGGCTATAGGTACCTCTCACGAAGTGCCTGGCAGCTCACCACCTCCTCTGGAGTCTTAGGCCCATGGCCAATGACCCACGTTACTAATGTTTGGCCGGCCGCTTGACTTAGACGTTCCTCCACACTGGGTGGGGTGAGCACACAGTCACGCTGGCGCTCAAGAATTGCAGCCATTTGTACATAACGCTGAGCGTTTTCTTTTCTTTGAACAAGCAATTGTTGTTGCTCATCGAGCGGGTTCGTGATGATAGTCTCATCAGACCCAAATGCTGCATGCTGCGCTGGTGGCGCGCTCGCACCTCCACGTTCAGCGAACGGATTTGGGGTGTTCGAAGGTTGTGCCACAGGCATCAGTGAACCGGACATTGTCCCTGTATCACTGCGGACACTGGTATCGCTACCATAGTCCACCTCCTCCTCTTTTCCGAGGTAGTTACACAGAGCCTTTGACTTGTTTGGTGACGAGGACATCGTGCTAGAGCGTACGTTACCGTGAGGCTCACCGCACGCGCACTGTTCTCGCTGAGAACACAAGTTCGATTGACGTTTTGGCAAACGTCAGTCTGGTGGGGGAGGGTGTAACGGGGTTGCACGAAATTATGGTACTTTGTACTAGAGGTGTTACACACCTGAGGTTGCCCCTTTGTGAAGGTGATATAGATTATCTTATCGGTTTGTAGGGGTTGACGAGTGTCAGCCATTAGGTACGAAAAATCTTTGAGTAGGATTAAGATATTCTATAAGCGTTAACAAAAATAAAATCAGTTCCCATTTTGATCTAAAGGACACGTGGCTTGTGAGCCATCTTGATCGTTGATCACTGATCACTAAGAGTTAGCAACACCTCCCTGAGGTAGCTACTCTTGAGCACTGAGTGCCGTCGATTCACCGAATCGTTAGGTCCCCTGGAACAGGAATCGGAAGCTGTAAAGCTTGTTGACTCGTAAAGTCGTAAGCTCTTTGGAACTAAGTTGCTCGTAGAGCGTTAAGTCTTCCTCTGACTTAAGGAGCTGTGTAGCTCCGCTACAACACATCTGACGACAACCTGACCATTTGCCATCAATTGTTAAGTCGAGGAAAAGATTTCTACCTGTAAAACATTACAGACGTAAAAAGCAACTTATAACCCGCTTAATTTAACACTATATTCCTAAAATGCTAAATCTGCTGGAGATAAAAAGCGACTATGAAAAAAATGGCCTCAACAACCTTTAAGAAAAACTATGATACTACTGGAGCAATTAAATTTCATATATGCAGTTTTTACTTGATAAAATCCATGACCTTTTTAATATCTAACCGTGAATGATGGAAAAATCATGTCCGCTTAAAGCTCTCGGTATAGTAGCACTCGATTGCAGCAACCAAAAAATTTGAATTTGCTTCCTGGATGTCCTGCCCGTAGTTTGTACAACTTGACTGTAACTCAATCTTTAAAAACTGTCAGTTATTCACTAACAATTTATGCGTAAGATATTTTTGCTACTACTAATAACATGATGGTACCGAAGCTAAGTGACTGACTTAAGACCGCTTTGATTGATTAGTTGTAAGGATGAAGTGCCTCACTCAAAATATTATTTAGCTCTTTTTGTCTGCTTTGATATCTATACAAAAGCATATGTATCACAAAATTGCGCCTCTGGTGCCGCCACCTAGCCCGCCTTTTATCTTGCAGGCCATGCTGACGCAGTACGTAACTCCCACTTGTAACGGGGTGAGCCTTTTCCACGTAATTGACCTTGATATTGTGAATAAGAATATTATCATAAAGGATGATAATTTCGTGAATGTTACGATTAGGGTTGATATGTTCCTAAGTACTCACCGATTGGCTGGTATGGACCACCATGTCTGCCAACTTCAGCGGTCCTATCAACAATGGACACGCACAATGAGTGGTGAGCAAGACTTTAGCATACACTTTTGTCGATAAACAAAATTAAGTTAGGACTAAACAAAGGTACATGTCGTAAGGACTTCAATTTTTATAACACATTTTTACTTTCTACTACTGTTGAACGCTTCGTTCACCAGCTAGCCTTCCTCTGCACTTATGGTGTACGTGACGTGACGCGCGGCACTACCGAAACTGTTGTCAGTGTAGGTGCATCAGTACTAAAGCGGTACTAGCGCCCCGCTTTAGTTGGCCCGCTTTGGACTGTGGCACCACCACCTTCATCTCATGGTCGACAGACTATGCTTCAGTAGAAAAAATACATAGGACGTTTTGTACTTTCCGGTGACGTACGCCGAAAACGGCTACACGACAGTCGCGCGCAACTTCGGCTGTAAATTTCTGAATCTTCTTCAGCGCTGTATGTTGTCCATGTTTTCCGTCGAATTAAAATAGATTGATCTTGTGCCATTTTAGCCCAACCCGTGCACACGTCCCGGAGCCTCTTATCAGCATTTGTGGTATGTTGGCTTCGAGTTGGCTTTATAGCTTGCAACAATGACGCACACACGCGTCAGCTAAGTCGTTTGTGCAGACTTCTATAGAATAACGCGCGCATGAACAAGGCAAGTCTTGAACCTGCGCGGCATTCATCTTTTTTACTCCCTAGGTAAGGCCGTGGAAGGGGAGGATGGACTTGTATTCGGGTCGGTGGTTTCTACGAGGTTCGTAATTGCTACATTAGCTTTGCTTGATTATAGTGAAATCGGGCGTCAGGGGCTTCAGCTTGAGCTACTACGGTCCTAACATGAGCACCTCAACAGACACAACCGTGTTTGTGAATGAGTGCGATGTACCTGATCATAGATGGGAAATTGCCCAATTGGTCGCACGCAATTTAAGAGCATCCGAGACTACTAGTGTGGTTTTCTAGCTACTGTGTGTGATTATGCTACTGCTACTACTGCCGCGTGTGTTGTGTTTTCATAAATGTGTTCATAGGGCAGTTAGTGATTGCATAGCTTGTGTGGTTTAGAAAATTTCACCGAAGCACATTGGCATGTTAGTGAACTAAGCAGGAAAAAAGTGTACTTACCGTCGTTAGTGCGCACTTCGATTTGACACGTTTTAGTTGATGTGGCGATTTGATGGGACACGTACTCTCCTCCGTAGAAATGGCAATGGGACGATCACTTGAGCATTTGACACTTGAGAAAATTGAAAGGGTGTCGTATTGAACACGCTTGCACATTTCTGGACTTTGAAGATTGCCATACTGTCCGAAAGGTGTAGGGGTCACTACTTGTGACACTGCATCCGTGTTGGGCATGACGAGCTGTGCCAAGCTGACCGACTACTCTGCGAACAAAGCTGCGGTCAATGCTTTCAATCAAGCTCATCCAGTTAGTACACTCGTAGCAACTGGCCTAGATAGCTGTTTACATTCATACCCTGAGCTACAACGTGAAATTGACGTACCGATTCGGTCGCTTCTGGTCTAACCTGCTGCAGTGGACACCAACATGTTTGCCTGTGTCTCGGCTATAATATCAGCGGCTGACAAGATTCACCGTGCCATGAAACTTGCCAAAGAGTGAGTTCATTCCTGTGCCTCAGGCAGAAGGTGGATGGCTCTGTATTGGGCTCGCGCTTTTTCAAAAATTCTGCCTGAAAGGTCATTGACGTGCTCTATCATTTGGATAGAGGGCATTGCATGGCATGGGTGTAACGGGGTGAATCGTTACATAACAATTTATAAGAAATTGTTGATAGAATATAACTATAAGAGTTATATTCTCAGAATATTGTCATGAGGACAAGTATTCTGTAGCACTTACGAGTAGTTTCTAATTGGTTGAAATAGGCCATTCTATCAACTAACGAAGACGCGCCACGACAGATGCACGCAATGAGTGGTGAGCAGATAGTTGATTTACACACTTGTATTTAGACATAGTTAGATGAAGATAAATAGTGATTTATTGCAGACATTAACTATTATAAATGCAGTTCTACTTTTACTTTGACCAAGTACTCGCTTCTTTTTACCGTCTTCCTCTGCACGTACGAGTGTACGTGAAGTTACGAGGCACCGCCTTATTCTGTCATCAGAATAAGTAGCTTGTACTGTTACCAGTACAAGCTTTAGGGTGCCACGTTACACCTGGTAGCACTTCGTAGTCCGTCCAAGGACCGCGTTCACATCTAACATGAATATGTTGGATGATGAAGATGACCAAAGCTTTCACGCTACGCGTGACGGCTACTCCCATTTGAGCGATGTCGAATGGGATGCGGTTAAACGGATGGGTTTAACCATGGGCATCCATGCTGTTAGCGTCATGCTAGAGGCTCTCAATAGAGATGCCCAACATGCTACTATCGCCAAGTTCATTCAAAATGAACTTGACGCTGAACGCGAGAAAGTAGCCTTGCTTCACCTACAAGGTTCTCAACAAGCAGAGTTGTTGAGAGAGCAGGGTGCTCAACAGTTTGAACTGTTGAGACAGCAGCAGGCTGCTGCTGGTGGGTCGATGCACTCGCGTCGACCCGAAACCTAGAAGATTGACATCTCCAAGTATAGGGGAGTCGAAGAGGACTCCCTCTTGAGATGGTTCGTCGAATTGGATGACGCCATAAGGGCGCGTCGCATCGACGACGGGGATATGCAAGTTGCATTTGCCCAGTCAAATCTGGCAGGACGTGCCAAGACTTGGGCTTTGGGGCTCAAGTTGCACAACCCATATGCGTTTGGGTCGTTGGAAGTCTTCAAGTCGCGGCTCAGACAAAGGTTTGAACCGCCTAGAGCTGAGTTCAGGGCTCGAACCAAACTCTTGAAGCTTAGACAAGGTAAGCGTGATGTGCACGCTTACGCTCAACATATACGACATCTTACGAGTTGTATAAGTTCCAATCCAGTGGATGAACACACGTTGGTTTCGGTGTTCATGCAGGGTCTTGCGGATGGTCCCGTCAAGACTCACCTGTTACGGCTTGAACTAGATTCACTAGAACAGGCAATTTCCATTGCGGAACAGGAAGACTTCAGTCTGAGACAGGCTCGCGCCAGCTCGACATCATATCGTCAGCCGAGAAGATATGGCAGAGGAGTTCCAGAGCCGATGGAACTCTGTTATGTAGAGAGCGAGAAGGCTCGCTCTACAGACTACAAGAAGTTGCAGAGATGCAACAGATGTCAAAAGACAGGACACTACGCTTACGAGTGTGGTGCCCCTCGTCCATTGTCTCGCGACACTGGGCGTAGTGACCGTCCACCCATGAGAAAGGGGCAGGGACGAGGGTCCGCAGTTGGTGCAAAGACGCAACAACGGGATGGACCGTCAAAAAACGGACAGGATCAGTAGGTGCGGAGCACCCTACTGATCGAGCAACGTCAAGAGAATTTGTAGGCCTCTTGATGAAGGTTGCTTCCAACACACAAACGTTGTGCGTTGCTGCTCTAGGTAATGAGGTCTCACTCATTACCTTGAAACTCGAAGTGACGAATAAGTTGTCCCTTCGAGCTCTAGTCGATCGTGGGGCATCCAACAATTTTGTGCGACGCCAATCGCTAGAAGATGGTCACTTTAAATTCAGTGAATGTGACACACCTCCTACGAGGATGACGGTACGTCTTGCGACAGGCGCATCCGTAACCTTCATGAAGCGTATAGTGAAGATCCACTATACGCTAGAAGATACCCAATATGACGATGACTTTATCGTATTGGATTTGGATGACAAATTTGATGTCATCCTTGGAATACCGTGGCTCAGAAGGTACGAACCACGGGTAAACTGGCAACATCGAACAGTAACGATGCCTGCCGCTTGTTCATCAGATGGCCATCTGATGAACGTTTTGGAGCGTCCACAAGCGTGTGGATGTACTACGAGTGAGTGCGATGGCCTCACTTGTGGTACGGTCGTTAGTACGACTGCACAAAACCTTAGTGTACCAAACGGTTACACTTCGGAGCAAAGTCCCGGCAGCTGTGAGGAAGCACAGGCTGCGCCGAAGGTCCACCACTCGAATAAGTCGGGTGGACTGGGACAAAGATGTATCCCTAGCGGGGAACATCTAGAAGCGAAACAATCGATCGCTCAGGTTAAGCGAAACGATAATCCTAGATCGACTGGAGAGTCTTTCGTAGAGGATCTCGCTGTGGTTGCGCAACCCCAGCTAGAGGGAGTAAAGGGAACAAGTCCCAAGATTAAAATTACGGGGGAAATAATTTTTTCCGAAACCCGCGGGAATAAGTCCCCGGGAAGCCGAAGTAATAAGTATTTCGAAGCCTGAAGGAATAAGTCCCCAGGAAATGACAGAGACATTGAATGTCATAGTCAATAACGGATCAAGTGTAGGCGCTTATACACTTGATGCGCTCCGAAGTTGACTTCGGAGATCACTCAGTTGCCAACGCTCGAACATAAAAGGTTCTTGCGTGATCTGCGTAGTGGCAAAGTCAAGCAGATCTGCATACTCGTCGCTGACGACGAGTGTGTAACCGACATAAGGTCAGCAACAGTGGTCGCTGAGAACGAGAGAGTTCTCAGTAGTTCATCTATGGACGAGAGTGTCCTAGATGAAAAGACACGAATTGAGCGATATGAGTCCCAATCATGGGAATCGCTCAAGGAAAATCCTCTCTATGAAGATTTGGTTGAATTCAAGGATGTATTCCCTGAAACTGTTCCGTGCGAATTACCGAAGGATAAATGCATTCGACACGAGGTCGAGCTTAAACCAGGCTCGAAGTACTGTGTCATGAAGCAGTGGCCACTGCCTCGTGAACAAGTACTTGCGATCGACAAATTCTTTGCCGATCGTTTAGCAGCGGGCCATGTGAGGGAATCAACTTCCCCACATAGCTCTCCGACCTTCTGTGTGCGAAAAGCAACAGGAGGGTGGCGGATAGTGCACGCGTTCAACAAATTGAACGCTGCAACGGTACCGGCTCCGACGCCGATACCGAGGAAGGACGTAATCATTGATGGTATGTCAAAGAGTACCATCTTTTAGTCCATGGATTTGATTGATGGCTTCTATCAAATCCTTATGCGAGAACGGGATATACCCTATACCGCAGTTAGCACGCCTAGCGGCATGCTCTGGGAATGGCTAGTAATGCCACAAGGGCTTAGTAATGCCCCTGCCACATTCAACAGATGTGATACACATCTGTTGAGACCAGTACGAGAATTTGCGCCGAGTTATTTCGATGACGTATTCATCCATAGTCGAGCTATGGATGGAAAGTCGGACGTTGAGGTTCACAGGTACCACGTCCGACAAGTTCTTACAATCATGCGAAAGCATCAATTGTATGCAAACCTCAAGAAGTGTATATTTGCAGCAAGCGAAATACCACTTCCTGGGTGCATCGTTGGTAAGAACGGTGTACGTCCTGATCCCGAAAAGATCAAGGCGATCACCGACTGGCCTGTGCCGGTCGATGTCAAAGGTCTTCGAAAATTCCTTGGGCTAGCGGCGTATTTGCATAAGCATTCACGCAATTACGCCGAGATGACTGTGCACCTCTCTCGTTTGTTGAAAAAGAACTAGAGGTGGTTATGGAACGCTGAATGTCAACGCTCCTTTAATGGTATCAAGCAGAGCTTGATACAATCCCCAGTCCTAGCAATAGCCGATCAGGACAGGCCATTTCATGTGGTCTGTGATGCCAGCGATTTTGCAATCGGCTGTGCATTAATGCAGTACGACCTAGAAGACGTTGAACGCGTCGTCTGCTATCAGTCGCGTCAGCTACAATCAGCTGAGCGGAACTATCCAGTGCATGACAAGGAACTCCTTGCCATGAAGTATGCACTCGCGAAGTTCAGAGTCTATCTATTAGGAGATAGACCCTTCATTGTTTACACTGACCATGCGTCATTACGCACGGCAGTGAACAGCTTGCACCTTTCACAACGAATGGCGCGGTGGTTGTCATTCTTTGCGGAATACAACTATACGTTTGAGTACAAACCAGGACGACTCAATGTCTTCGCTGATGCACTCTCACGTCGTCCCGAATTTGAAACAGTCGCGAAACCCAACAGTGAGACAGTCACTGTTGCGGTTATGACGTCTTCAGTCCCATCTACAACGTGGTATGATGATGTGAGGCGGGCATATGCCCAAGATGGTGAGATTGTGAAGTTGTTGACACATCTCTCCCAACCATCTCGAGAATCGTTGAAACGATTGTCGTCTGCGTATCGATCTGCATCATATCGATACACTACTCGTAACGGTTTACTGTACTATACAGCCGTCTCTGGTGACACACCACGTGTTGTCATTTCAGATGATACTGATCTGCGTTTGCGGATCATGTTCGAGTGTCACGATGCTCCTATAGGAGGACATCGTGGCCGGGAGAAAACATATCTCACGGTGAGTAGAGACTTTTACTGGCCCCGCCAGTATCAGTTTGTGCGAAAGTATGTTCGCTCATGCGAAGTCTGCCAACAAGTGAAGTCAAGTCCTTCACTGCTTGCACCTTTACAGCCTCTACCGGTTCCGGCTGAGTGCTGAAAATCCATCTCAATGGATTTCGTCTTCGGGTTGCCCAAAGACGCACGCGGGAATACGGGTATTCTCGTATTTGTTGACAGATTCAGCAAAATGGTACACCTTGTGGCTGTACCAGAGACAATCACGGCAAGTGGCTGTGCTTGTGCCTTTGCTGACACCATCTTCCGACTTCATGGGTTGCCCCGTGAACTCGTATCAGACAGAGATCCACGATTCACTGCTGATTTCTGGCGTTCCGTGTTCAAATCACTCGGAACGCGCTTGAAGATGTCGACATCTGATCATCCAGAGTCAGATGGTCAGACGGAACGTGCCAATCGTGTCCTTGAAGAGATATTTCGAGGATACGTACACTCCTTTAAGAGTTGGAGTGAGTTTTTGCCAATGGTAGAGTTTGCCATTAACAACTCGGTGCTTGCGTCCACGACACATACACCGTTTTACGTGAATGGCTTGCGCCACCGCGTGTACCCACCTTACTAGAGTGTAACTCTGGCTTAAGGGGGGGGAGGGACTCGCGCGAGCAAAACCGATTTGGTTCACGCTCATCACGCTCTGACGAAGAGGTCATTGCGCTTGATGCCGATATCGATAACATCGATATCGAAGAAGATGAAGCCAGTGAGAGTGCGGAAGCCCTCACTGAAGAAGATGATGCCAGTGAGAGTGCGAGAGCCCTGACTGGAGAAGATGATGCCAGTGAGAGTGCGGAAGCCCTCACTACAGAAATAGATTGATGTTGGTGCAGTGCACTCACAGCGCACTGAAGCTAACGAGTCATCAGATGAGTTCATACTGGCTCGTGAAACGGTAGTCCGTTTTGTGCAAGACTCCATCGCCGAAGCGGTGGATAAGCAAAAGCAAAACGCTGACAAGAATGGAAGGGCAAACACTTTTTTAATTAATATAGGTGACTTAGTCCTACTGTCTACGGTTAATCTACCAAAGCATGTAGTGACTAACTTGGGTAGCAGTAAACTAATACCCAAGTACATCGGCCCATTTCGTGTATTGCACCGCCTAGGCAATGCATACACGATCGAGTTACCACGTAAGATGCGAACGCATCCCACGTTTTACGTTGGTAGGCTTAAGCCGTACTATCAGTACGCTGCTTCTTCCGATGAAGAACGCCCTTGCGCTCAAGCATCTCGCAGAGAGCCTTGTGATCCCGATGGTGGGCATCAACAAGGGTCTGAAGAGCAGTTATCTCATCCCGAGACCGATCAACAATCCCACGAGCTACCCTTAGCTCGTCACGAAGAGATGTCAGAGCTCTCTCGTTCTCAAGCTGAGCAAAGGCAAACTCATCTCGATGCTTCGAAGCAGCGTCCGCCATTTGGAGACGCCTATTCCGCTCATGTTCGAGATCGTCGCGTAACCCTTGCGTTACGCGATCAAAGAAGCTCTCGGGAACACACGCTTCCTCACCATTGTGTGGAGAGCGTCTTCCCTCCTCCTCCACCTCCATAGAGGACTCTCGCGGTGGCCAGCGCTATCTGGTTGAGCAGCTGTTGAACGACCGCGACGTGAACGGACGTCGGACGAGTTATCTCGTCCGGTGGCGCGGCTATCCCCCGTCCTGGGATTCTTGGGAGCCCCGCTCCCAACTGATGATCGACGTACTGGGTCTGGTTGAGCAGTACGACGCGGCACATCCTGTGCCGCAGAAGGACCGCCGGAGAAAGTCTTCCCGGCACGGTCGTAAAGGGATTTCAGGTTGTCAATCCCTTCGTACATCTCAGTAGTGATACGCACACGCCACCACGGGCTGGTAAGGAGGTAAGCCTCCTTAGGTGCTCGTGCAGAGTTGTTCACACAACATGGGCACGAGTCTCCCCAAGAGAGGCAGGGTAATCCTTTCTCCCTTGACAGACGATGCAGCTTGTAGCGTGCACCTGTCGGGGTTCGCTTTTCAAACTTATCACGAGCTTTGATAAGTTTGTCATTCCAAGCGTCACGACCTACATCCTCGAGGTTATGGATGTAGGCGTTCCACGCCTGAAGTAGTGAGGGACCATCACGTTTGTGATTCCCACTGTACCATCGATGTCTGAAGAAAGCATCGATGAAAAATTCTTTCTCAGCGCGATAGTTTTTCGCGCTGGGGTCAAGGTGATGGATCCTTGACGAATCGAACAATCGTGTTCGATAACGATCACTCGTCGTCGCCGACAAGTGATCCATGACGGATTTCGGAGGCATCCATGCCTTCTTCTCGGAAGCGAGACGCAACACACTGCGGTCCCGCTCTTCCTGCGACGTGCCGACAGAAGTACTGGCACCTCATTGCGAAGTGGTGTCCATAGGAGAACCGACACCACTGTGAGCGCCTGAGTCTCGCGACCTCGAGCGCCTTCGCTTCGGCGATGGTTCATCTGATTCATCAGATGAACCAAAGATGCTACGACGCAAAGCATCATCCATGCCACGCTTGGCAGGCGGCTTGGATTCAATCTCCATCGATACGGATCCGTCTTTCGTACCAGGAGAGTACGAGACACCGAGCTCGTACTCTGTGAAGACATGAGTGTCTTCATGACCAGCGCCTGCATCACCAAGTGACACAGGCTGGGTCGCTTCAGCAACCGATGAGACATCAGTTGCTGTGGTTTCTGCTTCGGCGTCCGCACAGAGACGTGCGGACGCGCTCTCGGCGGCCTTGCTCGCGCATCGCATGGGCTTGTTAACCATGCGATGAGATGTTGGAAAGTGGACGCGGACCAACAAGTGCAAACCCTGTCCCAAATGATTTGGGACGAGTATCCATTTAGTCAATCAGTCACTAAAGTGACTGATGGTTAAGGGGGGTGATGTAACGGGGTGAATCGTTACATAACAATTTATAAGAAATTGTTAATAGAATATAACTATAAGAGTTATATTCTCAGAATATTGTCATGAGGACAAATATTCTGCAGCACTTACGAGTAGATCCTAATTGGTTGATTAGGCCATTCTATCAACCAATGAAGACGCGCCACGACAGACGCACGCAATGAGTGGTGAGCAGATAGTTGATTTACACATTTGTATTTAGACATAGTTAGATGAAGATAAATAGTGATTTATTGCAGACATTAACTATTATAAATACAGTTCTACTTTTACTCTAACCAAGTACTCGCTTCTTCTTACCGTCTTCCTCTGCACGTACGAGTGTACGTGAAGTTACGAGGCACCGCCTTATTCTGTCATCAGAATAAGTAGCTTGTACTGTCACCAGTACAAGCTTCAGGGTGCCCCGTTACAATGGTCATGTATGTCGATGCGATTAGCATCCGTAAACACGATGGAAAAGACAAGGTCGTTGTATCACCGACACTGTACTGCTCATGTGGGATAACAATAGTCTATTCTTTTTGGTAAAATGCTACTAGACATAAAACGCTCCGGCGAAGTTTGTGTGAAACAAAAGAGATTTAGATAGTCTGTCTTAGTTGTGCGACAATAGCTATAAGTAGATCGAAGAAAGTGTGGACAAATGACTCTCCGTCCAGCAACTACTTTTTTCGCCATGCATGATGCTTGACGATGACTAGCTGTGCCAGTCAAAAATACAGAAATGTTTTACTTTGAAAAGGGCAAGGCTATTTGTTTTTAGAATTTCGCTATTCTGTACTGCGAATGGCGTCAAATATTTTTGCGAACAGCTAATTAGCTTGATAGATAAATTTTACATTTACTATGCTATATAAAGAAGGTCAGAGGTGCGGAGATTAAAGAGCTCCCAATGACTGCATTAAATTCCCTGTACACGAGCTTCATATGACTCGTATAGTGTAGCTGACCACACGACATTCATTGATATCGTCCTTTGGTTCAAATACCAACAAACGGTACAGGCAGTGCGAGCGCTGACCTGAAGCATACTGTACAAGGCGAAATTTCCATTTACTTTGGAACTACCGACCATTAGATACAAGTGTCTACTGGCGACTACAGCCATATAGTCAGTCGCAAAACTGGAGACACCCATGACGAAGAAATCATGACAAAGACTGTGAGAAGATATATGATGGAGGGGAAAACTTTGATCCTAAAAGCGACCACCCTACTGGCAACAAATTGCAAATTAACTTTCGATTTGGCGTTTGTACAACCCATTGTGGAGGAAAAGAGTTAAACGCGTTCAAAGAAACTCGTGTCGCATTCGAGAGATGGACAGCTTCACACGGCGGTGCCTCCGTAGGAATTAATACGCGGGTTTTGACCGCACGTTGGTGTACCTCTTCATAACCTCATCGTACACCGTATCTGTTAAAAGGCACGCATTCAAGTGGATGTTCAACTAAAGTGGTACAAGTACCATTTTGACATTATGTTTGCGTCGAGCAACTGTGGTAGTTTCTCCTGCAGATGACATTTGCTAGAATCCAAAAAGGTAATGATATCAATACCCCTTTCTCTTTTGCATCTAACTGTGTGTACTCTGTCTCTACCTTTGTGTATTGACTTCTAACAGGATCTTCAGGACAGTTGCCGAACACGAGCGAGACGGGGATCGAGAGGGAATAGCGCTGTGGAGTGGCTTCATAGAGCCATCGATTAGGTCAAGATGACAGCAGCAGGCGGGTTGAACCCAGCAGAGACCAAGAACATGAAGTTTGTGAGGACGCTCACAACGGCAACGAATTCGCCACTGGACAGCTGGCCTAGGAGCGTATGCATAAGCTGGTAGAAAAGGATGTTGATCCAGTGGAGAATAGCCTTGCTGAAGGACTAGAAGCCGAGTAGAGGAAAAAACAGTGGTGAAGAGGAGACTGCTGCCAAAGGCAAAGGAAATATCGTCGAACGTGATGCCGAGGCAGTATCAGAGCGTTTTTGTACGTCCGCGCGTCAAACTTGCGGTAGTAGACGGCTTTTTCCCGCAGGATGAAGGGCAGACAAGCAACAGAAGTCACGTATCCTTGATACAGTGTTGTCATGAAATGATATCTCCAAGACTGAGTTTCAGCTATTGGTACAATGTGTAGTCGGCGTTTACGAGCACGAGGCCGAAGATGATGGCCGGGATAAGCGCGAGCCATCACTGAGTCAAGTTATACAACGGTTTTTGCTAGTACATTGACTGAAGTCGCTGCATGATCAATTAGAGCTGCATCCAGGAAGTAGCAGCTCGCTTGTGCTGCAAAACTAGATTCGGTAGACTATTGGGTGCAATATCGCCACACCAGATCTAGCTCGAAGAGTCAGCAACATTTGGTGCTCCAGAGATAGATTTGAACATTGATATTCTTCCATTTGATGATGTTCAATCCGTCCCTAAGGCTCAGCTTTAAATCCAATCAATGGAAGCTCTTTAAACTCCGCTCCTCTGACCTTCTATATGTAGCATAGTACAAATAAAATTTACTATTAAGCTAATAAGGAGCTCGTAAAAACTTTTGACGGCGTTTGCAGTACGGAATAGCAAAATTCAAAGTACGGATTAGCCTCGCCCCTTAGTAACAGCAAGCACTTCTTACCCTGTGGTACCAAAG